GCTAGAGGTGCGCAGTCAAAGGTCGAGAGATGCCTTGACACAAACACACGCTGGGATACGTCAGTGGTGTGTGGCTGTGTTCCACTCACAGCCCCACAACCGCAGGTGTGCACGAAAGCACACAACCAGGCAAACACGCCGGCCTGCAGACACACACCCACACACACCCCCAGCCACAAAACCCCAGGCACAAATACACACACACACAGCCTGTGTGTCGTATGGCCGGGCAGGCTGGTGAAAGGGTGTGGACGGCGGAGGGGTCAGGAGGAGAGATGGGGCGCAGGAGGGCTAGAGAACAAGGAGTGGGGAGCAGTCTAGCTACGTTTTGGGGGGACCCCTCCTCCCTGTATGACAACAGAGGCTATAGGGAGGACACCTGAATCTTGAACGCCCCACTCCCCGCAACACAACACCCCCTAGTGCCGCACTGGGGCAATGCGGCCAGCCCTGACTGCCAGGGGAGAGCGCCCCCTATTGAGCCCCCGCCGGGCTCCCTGCAGCACAGCGCCCCCTAGTGCTGCACTGGGGCAATGCGGCCAGCCCTGACTGCCAGGGGAGAGCGCCCCCTGAGCCCCCGCCGGGCTCCCTGCAGCACAGCGCCCCCTAGTGACGCACTGGGGCATTGGGTCAGCGCTGATGCCACTCCGGAGGCGGGTTATTTTGGGGATGACGGGTTCCTGGAAGGACATTGGGAAGGTGAGAGCCCCCCAAGAAGAGGATGGGCTGCCCTCCGCCCCCTTTCCCCCCCAGCCACCGAAGCATGTGCGTTATGTCACCGCTCCAACACACCAAGCAGTGACCTTGAAGCGAAGGAGACGCATGAGAGATGCGAGCCAGAATGCCCTCCAGGAGAGGCACACAGACACAGCCTCGGCCACAGCCCCTCCCCAACCCATCTTCACCCCTCCATGTCTCGATCCCAGACCCCTCCCCTCCTGGAGCACCTTTGGGACACCCCATCTCTCTCCAGCTTCGGGGGATGGGTCTTTCTCCCCCCCAGCTCTGGGGTGGGACCCCCTGGCCCATGCCGATACACTCCCTGCAGTGCTGGGGCTCTGTGCAGGGAGCATAGCCCACCCAGGGGGAATGTTCCCACACCGGCAGTCCAGACCATGTCGCCTGGGGTTAGATCAAGTTTGGAAAGCGTCTTATGTAAGTGGAGTATAGTCGTGGCATAGACAGGGCTGCATGTAGGGCTGTGGAATGGAGGAGCATGAGATAGATAGATAGATAGATAGATAGATAGATAGATAGATAGATAGATAGATAGATAGATAGATAGATAGATAGATAGATGGGTGTATGGGCATAGATAGATAGATAGATAGATAGATAGATAGATAGATAGATAGATAGATAGATAGATAGATAGATGGGGTGTAGTGGGAAGAGATGGGGGTGTATAGGGATGGATAAATAAAGGTAGAGTTGGAAGAATTTGACTTTTTAAAATTAATTTTGATGTTTATTTTTAAGCATTTTTTTCCAATTTTTGTCAATTTAAATTTTCATTGGTGCACAAAATTATGGGGTTCACGCAATTTTTTGTGTTTGTATTGATTTCAATTTTCAGAGTTGTGGGAAATTCCCTGGGGGCATGAGGCCATAATTATTTAATGGCAGGAAATGCTGAGATTCAAAAAGCGTTGTAACCATTACAACACCAATTGTTCACATCACATGTCAACGCATAAGCGTACACTTAAATCAAACTCTCCTCTCAGGCAAAATCTTCCTTACTTTGCCCAGTTGTCAGTTTCAGTTGTTATGGATGGAAATATTTTGTTTCATTGCTCTGTGTGTGTGTACGGTGAAATCGATGTTTAACAATAAAAATTAAATCCCTCAAAGCCTAGATCAGTGGTTCTCAACCTTTCCAGATGACTGTACCCCTTTCAGGAGTCTGATTTGTCTTGCGTACCCCCCCAGTTGCACCTCACTTAACAACTACTTGCTTACAAAATCAGACATAAAAATACAAATCGTGTCACAGCGCATTACTACTGACGAATTGCTGACTTTCTCCTTTTTACCATATAATTATGAAGTAAATCAACTGGAATATAAATATTGTACTCGCATTTCAGTATGTAGTATACAGAGCAGTATAAACCAATCAGTGTATGAAATTTTAGTTTGGACTGACTTGGCTGGTGCTTTTCATGTAGCCTGCTGTAAAACTAGGCAAATATCTAACTGAGGTGATGTCCTCTCTGGAAGATCTGTGTGTACCCCCAGGAGTACACATACCCCAGGTTGAGAACCACTGGCTGAGGTAAAGGAGTCTGTAGCTAGCTGAGCTAAGTATCAGAGGGGTAGCCGTGTTAGTCTGTATCCACAAAAACAACGAGGAGTCACCTTAAAGACGAACAGATTTATTTGGAGTGGGTTTTTTACCCACAAAAGCTTAGGCCCCAATAAATCTGTTCATCTTTAAGGTGCCACCGGACACCTCGTGGTTTTTTTAGCTGAGATAGATCATAGTTGCAGAGAGATCTGTATCTCAGTAGAGACAGAGAGAGAACTAGATACATAAGTACAAAACTGGTTGGAAAACCATTCCTAGAGAGGCATTATCAGTGGTTCACACTCATGCTGGAAGGGCGTAATGAGTGGGGTTCCGCAGGGACCAGTTCTGGATCCAGTTCCATAAGCGCGGGAACTAGGGGTGCGGGGGGTGCTGCAGCACTCCCGGGTTCCTGACTGCCAGCCCCGTGCCTGGGGTCCCAGCTGCCGCCCCACGCACCCCGGGTTTCGGCTGCCGTCCCCACACGCCCGGGGTCCCAGCCTCCGCTCTCGGGGGTGGAGGAGTGGGTAGGGATAAGGAGGCTGGTTTTTAGCACCCCCACTCTTAAAAATATTCCAGCGCCACTGTCCGGTTCTGTTCAATATCTTCATCAATGATCTAGATAATGACATAGAGAGGACACTTATAAAGTTTGCGGACCATACCAAGCTGGGAGGTTGCAAGCGCTTTGGAGGATAGGATTAAAATTCAAAATGCTCTGGACGAACTGGAGAAATGGTCTGAAGCCAATAGGATGGAATTCAATAAGGACAAATGCAAAGTACTCCACTTAGGAAGGAACAATCAGTTGCACACATACAGAATGGGAAATGATGGCCTAGGAAGGAGGACTGCGGACAGGGATCTGGGGGTCAGAGCAGATCACAAGCTAAGTGTGAGTCAACAGTGTCACGCTGTTGCAAAAAAAAGCAAACATCCTTCTGGGCTGTATCAGCAGGAGTGTTGTCAGCAAGACACGAGGAGTAATTCTTCCGCTCTAATTAGGCCTCAAGTGGAGTATCAGGTCCAGTTCTGGGTGCCACATTTCAGGAAGGATGTGGACAAATTGGAGAGAGTCCGGCGAAGAGTGGCAAAAACGATTCAAGGTCTAGAACCCATGAGCTGTGAGGGAAGATTGAAAGAACTGGGTTTGTTTAGTCTGGAGAAGAGAAGACGGAGAGGGGACATGAGAACAGTTTTCTAGTATGTAAAAGGTTGTTACACGGAGGAGGGAGAAAAATTGTTCTTAACCTCTGAGGCTAGGACGAGAAGCAATGGGCTTAATTGCAGCAAGGGCGGTTTAGGCTGGACATCAGGAAAAACTTCCTACCTGTCAGGGTGGTTAAGCCCTGGAAGAAATTGCCCAGGGCGGTTGTGGAGTCTCCATCATTGGAGATTTTTAAGAGCAGGTTGGACAAACACCTGTCAGGGATGGCCTAGGTAATACTTAGCCCTGCCATGAGTGCAGGGGACTGGACTAGATGACCTCTTGAGGTCCCTTCCTGTCCTACGATTCTATAGATAGATCTCCCTATCCTCCAAAACAAATATCTGTCTGTCCATCTCCATACAGACACCCCTCTATCTGTGGGATGTAATGGGTTAGAATAGATGGGGCTAGGAATCAGGATGCCTGGGTTCTATCCCTGGCTTGGTAGGGGAGTGGGTCTAGTGGGTTAGAGCAGGAAGGGAGGGATGGGGGTCAGGGTTGCTGGGTTCTAGTCTTACCACTGCATGACCTTGTTCCACCCCCTTTGGCACTCTGTGCCTCAGTTTCCACAGCTGTTGCAGTAGATCTGTTCCTTCTTTAGGCCAGGCTGACTTTAGTGTTTGGTGGGGAAGGATGGATGGGGAACCCCAGTGAAATTATTTAGGGGGACCCCTCCTCTTAATCTCTTGCCTCCCACATCCCGTTTCCCGCCTCCTCTGCCAAAACCAGACACAGCATCGCCCATTGTTAACTGTGGGGTGGATGCAAGACCCCAAGGCCACCCCTGTCTTTAGTGGGGAGCACTGGGTCCTATTCCCTGAAGGCTTTTGGCCTAAAGAGGGTCAAAGCCAGGGTCTCAATTTTTCCCCTCTCCCAAAATTCAGCCTCCCTGTCCAGCCAACAAACTACTCCAGTCCCAGGCTCTGTTGGCCTTTGTAGGCCTTGCAGGCCACCGTGGGCAATGTGGTGTATAGGACAGCACCCCAAAGTAGGTTTGCCAACTTTGGTTGGATGAATTCCTGGAGGTTTCCTCACATGACATTATCTTTAATGAAAGATTACTCATTAAATCCTGGATGCTCCAGGCCAATCCTGGAGGGTTGGCAACCCAAATGGGGATAGATAGATAGATAGATAGATAGATAGATAGATAGATAATGGGTGTTTCAACAGAGTTGTGGGTGGGGGAGCTCATGGCTTGAATAGCATGGGGGAACTGCAGATCGGTGTCGAAGGGCATTTTATGTCCTAAATTGCAGGACAACTGCTGCGCTCCACCCCAGAAATGGCCGCATTTCAGGGCGGGTGAGCCATCCCTACGTGGTGTCGCTGTGTGGCTGTTCCCCAGCTGTCCCACCCTAGAGGTGGCTGCATCTCAGGGCTGGGTTGTGTGATACATGCCTGCCCACCCTGGAAATTGCTCGAAGGTGGCCGCTGGGATCCGTGTGCATCTGGGGGAGACAGCGCAGGGTCTAACGTCTTCTCTTCTCTCCTCTCCAGGCCAAAGACAGCGACGATGAAGAAGAGGTGGTTCATGTGGACCGGGATCATTTTATGGACGAATTCTTCGAACAGGTGAGAGATGAAAGGCTGCTCTTCATATGAGTTGGTCCCCGTTTCACTGGGAGTCTCCCGGAATCGTCTGCCAAACCGGGAGATTTTAGGCACTAAAAGTTCGTTGGCGCAGCGGGGCTAAGGCAGGCTCCTTGCCTGCCCTGGCCCTGCGCCTCTCCCGGAAGTGTCCGACATGTCCCTGTGGCCTCTGGAAGGGGAGAGGGACTCCGCGCACTGCCCCTGCCCCGAGCGCCGACTCCACGGATCCCACTGGCCAAGAACTGCAGCCAATGGGAGCTGCGGGGGTGGTGCCTGCAGGCAGGGGCAGCTCGCGGAGTTCCCTGCCCCCCCCTCCAGGGGCAGGGCGCGGAGTCCCCTGCCATGAGCCCCCTCCTGGAGCCTGCACCCCACAGCCCCTCCTGCACCCCAACCCCCTGCCCCAGCCTGGAGCCCCCTCCAGCACCCAAACTCCCTCCCAGAGCTTGCACTCCAACTCCCTGCCCCAGGCTCAGCCCAGAGCCCCCTCCCACACTCCAAACCCTTCGGCCCCAGCCCAGAGCCCGCACCCCCTCCCACACCCCAGTCCCCTGCCCCAGCCTCGTGAAAGTGAGTGAGAGTAGGGGGAGAGCGAGCGACAGAGGGAGAGGGAATGGAGGGAGCGGGACGGGGCCTCGGAGAAGGGGCAGGGCAGGGATGGGGCCTTGGGGAAGGGGGAGGCGGGGGTGGGGGGCGGAGCAAGGGTGTTTGGGTTTGTGTGACTAGGCAGTTGGCAACCCCAGTCCCACTCCTCACCCAGCTGCCATACCCCAGACCTGGCTGCATCTTAGCCCCTTAGCTCGCGACATGGGGTTTCTGTGTAACCTGAAATAACTCCTGCCAAGGCAGGTGGTTCTGAATTAGCGTGCAGCTGGCCTCATTAATATTCAGACAGGGTGATTTACAGGCAAAGGAGCTCACTAATGATGCAGTTTGTCCTTCGCACGCAGGTGGTGATGTCGTAAATTATACACCTGGCCTAGTTAATTCTGCAGCCATGGCGGGTAGGGTGCGGGGGGCAGGAGGAAGTTCATTTCCAACGCCACAGCATGGTGCTAGGGGGCGATATGGGACAAGACCCAGGGCCTTAGCCCAGCACCCCCTAGTGCTGCGCTGGGGCATTGGGGCCAGCATGGAATGCCAGGGGAGAGCGCCCCCTACCAAGCCCCCTGCCCCACTCCCTGCGGCGCGCCGCCCCCTACCGAGCCCCCCGCCCCACTCCCTGCAGCACAGAGCCCCATCCTGGTATGCCTGGAGACTGCGGTTCCCCCCGTGCATGTATCTGTCCGTCTGTCCACCCCCAGGTGGAGGAAATCCGCGGCTGCATAGAGAAGCTGTCGGAGGACGTGGAGCAGGTGAAGAAGCAGCACAGCGCCATCCTGGCTGCTCCCAACCCAGACGAGAGTGAGTTGGGGTGCCCCAGGCTGGGGGGGGGGTCTCTGAGCCCCATCGCCTCCCTGCTGGGGGAGAAGAGGACGGAACCTAGAGGTGTCCATCCACCCCTTCCTTCCTCCTTCCTTCATCTATCAACCCTTTCACCCCTTTACCGACCTACCGACCTACCCGCATACACCCCCCTCTGTCTATCCAACCCTCTCCTTTCATTCATCCCTGTCCGCCCATACATCCCTCCCCCTTCCTCCTGCCATCCGTCTCTCTGGGCCTTCATCCCTCCCCACCTCCAGCTATCCATCCATCCCTCTCGCCTCCTCGTCCTCCATCTGTCCAGCCACCCATCCGTCTGTCTGTCCACCAGCCCTCTGGCCAGCCCTCCATCTGCCTACCCAACTGTCCGTCCCACCCTCCATCTCTTCGTCACTCTGTCCCTCCATCCCTGCCTCCATCCTGTCATCCTGTGAATGCACCTACCTATCCGTAGCCACGCTTCTCTCCATTCACCCTTTATTCACCCCACTGTTCCAGGCCCCGCCCCCCCGTGTGGAAGGGGGGCAGGGAGGGGACGCCCCCGGGGGGGCGTGCCCGCCATGGGGATCCCAGGGGGCCAGGAAGGTGGCCTCAGCCCCAGTGTGGGAGGCGGGCATGGTGGAGACTCTTCCATCTCATGCCCCTCTCTTCCCCCCGTGCAGAGACCAAGCAGGAGCTGGAGGACCTCACGGCCGACATCAAGAAGACGGCCAACAAGGTGCGCTCCAAGTTGAAAGGTACGAGCCCGCGTGGCCATATTGGCTGGTCCTGCACCCCCTCCCCTCCAGGGCATGTCGCTCCGCCCTGAGAAATAGTCCCCTTCTTCCATGCCAAGGGGTCCGCGGCTCTGACGCTGCTCCTCATGTCTCTCCGCAGCCATCGAGCAGAGCATTGAGCAGGAGGAGGGGCTGAACCGGTCCTCGGCTGACCTGCGGATCCGTAAAACACAGGTATCCCTCCGCCCTCTGCCCCCCGACACAGGTATCCCTCCGCCGTCCCGCCCCCGACACAGGTACCCCTCCGCCCCCCCGACACAGGTATCCGTCCCTCCTCGGCGCTCCCAATTACAAGTATCCCTCTGCCCTCACTCCCCCAAACGCAGGTATCCCTATCCCCTCCGCCTTCCTCTCCCCAGACACAGGTATCCCTCCGCCCTCACCCTCCACAACATAGGTATCCCTCCACCATCAGCTCCCCCCACCCCGCAACCCAGGTATCCCTCCGCCATCACCCCCCTCCCCAACACAGGTATCCCTCGCCTTCTCCAAACACAGGTATCCCTCCGCCCTCACCCGCCACAACACAGGTATCCCTCCGCCATCACCCCCCTCCCCAACACAGGTATCCCTCGCCTTCTCCAAACACAGGTATCCCTTCGCCCTCACCCTCCACAACACAGGTATCCCTCCGCCATCACCCGCCACAACACAGGTATCCCTCTCCTTCCCCAAACACAGGTATCCCTTCGCCCTCACCCTCCACAACACAGGTATCCCTCCGCCATCACCCCCCAACACAGGTATCCCTCCACCATCACCCCCCCAAAACAGGTATCCCTTCGCCCTCACCCTCCACAACACAGGTATCCCTCCGCCATCACCCCCCAACACAGGTATCCCTCCGCCATCACCCCCCAACACAGGTATCCCTCGCCTTCCCCAAACACAGGTATCCCTTCGCCCTCACCCTCCACAACACATGTATCCCTTCGCCATCACCTCCCCAACACAGGTATCCCTTCGCCATCACCCCTCCAACACAGGTATCCCTCCACCATAACCCCCCCAAAACAGGTATCCCTCGCCTTCCCCAAACACAGGTATCCCTTCGCCCTCACCCTCCACAACACAGGTATCCCTTCGCCATCACCCCCCCAACACAGGTATCCCTCCGCCATCACCCTCCAACACAGGTATCCCTTCGCCATCACCCTCCAACACAGGTATCCCTTCGCCATCACCCCTCCAACACAGGTATCCCTCCACCATAACCCCCCCAAAACAGGTATCCCTCGCCTTCCCCAAACACAGGTATCCCTTCGCCCTCACCCTCCACAACACAGGTATCCCTTCGCCATCACCCCCCAACACAGGTATCCCTCCGCCATCACCCTCCAACACAGGTATCCCTTCGCCATCACCCCTCCAACACAGGTATCCCTTCGCCATCACCCCCCAACACAGGTATCCCTCGCCTTCCCCAAACACAGGTATCCCTCCGCCATCACCCCCCAACACAGGTATCCCTTCGCCAGCACCCCTCCAACACAGGTATCCCTCCGCCATCACCCCCCAACACAGGTATCCCTCCGCCATCACCCCCGCCCAACACAGGTATCCCTCCGCCATCACCCCCCAACACAGGTGTCCCTCCGCCATCACCCCCCAACACAGGTATCCCTCCGCCATCACCCTCCAACACAGTATCCCTTCGCCATCACCCCTCCAACACAGGTATCCCTTCCCATCACCCCCCAACACAGGTATCCCTCCTCCCCAAACACAGGTATCCCTCCGCCATCACCCCCCAACACAGGTATCCCTTCGCCATCACCCCTCCAACACAGTATCCCTCCCCATCACCCCCAACACAGGTATCCCTCCGCCATCACCCCCGCCCAACACAGGTATCCCTCCGCCATCACCCCCCAACACAGGTATCCCTCGCCTTCCCCAAACACAGGTATCCCTCCATCTTCCCGCCCCCAATATCCCTCCCTCCTGAAGCCCCAGCCTCAGCATCATCAACTTCTGGAGCCATCCTCTCTCTTCCGTCCCTTCCTTCCCCACCTCTCCAGCTCTCTCCCATCACAGCTCCCCGCAACCCTCCCTCCCCTAAGCCGAGGGCGGATCACTCACAAGCTCACTCATCACCACAAGCTTCCGCCACCGAAGGGAACCAAAAAGAAATCGTCCCGCTCTGCGTCTCTCACAGTGTCTCCCTTCCCCGCCCCCTCCCCCCAGCACTCCACCCTGTCCCGTAAGTTCGTGGAGGTGATGACGGAGTACAACGCCACCCAGTCCAAATACCGGGACCGCTGCAAGGATCGGATCCAGAGGCAATTGGAGATAAGTATGTTTGGATTCGGGGGGAGGCCGTTGCAGGGGGGGAAGCTGTGGTTGTGTGTGTGTGTGTAAGAGAGAGTGCGGCACTTCCCCTTGCCGGTGGGAATCAGGGCCCGAGGTGTGTGTGTGTGTGTGTGTGTGTGCGCACCCTCAAAGTGCTGAGTGACCCCAGTGCCCCAGTGCGGCGCTAGGGGGCGCTGTGCTGCAGGGAGCGGGGGATCAGCAGGGGGCGCTCTCCCCGGGCAGCCAGGGCCGGCCCCCACGCCCCAGTGCGGCGCTAGGGGGCGCTGTGCTGCAGGGAGCGGGGGGTCAGCAGGGGGCGCTCTCCCCGGGCAGCCAGGGCCGGTCCCCACGCCCCAGTGCGGCGCTAGGGGGCGCTGTGCTGCAGGGAGCGGGGGATCAGCAGGGGGCGCTCTCCCCGGGCAGCCAGGGCCGGCCCCCACGCCCCAGTGCGGCGCTAGGGGGCGCTGTGCTGCAGGGAGCGGGGGATCAGCAGGGGGCGCTCTCCCCGGGCAGCCAGGGCCAGTCCCCACACCCCAGTGCGGCGCTAGGGGGCGCTGTGCTGCAGGGAGCGGGGGATCAGCAGGGGGCGCTCTCCCCGGGCAGCCAGGGCCGGCCCCCACGCCCCAGTGCGGCGCTAGGGGGCGCTGTGCTGCAGGGAGCGGGGGATCAGCAGGGGGCGCTCTCCCCGGGCAGCCAGGGCCGGCCCCCACGCCCCAGTGCGGCGCTAGGGGGCGCTGTGCTGCAGGGAGCGGGGGGTCAGCAGGGGGCGCTCTCCCCGGGCAGCCAGGGCCGGCCCCGATGCCCCAGTGCGGCACTAGGGGGCACTGTGCTGCAGGGAGCGGGGGGTCAGCAGGGGGCGCTCTCCCCGGGCAGCCAGGGCCGGCCCCGATGCCCCAGTGCGGCACTAGGGGGCGCTGTGCTGCAGGGAGCGGGGGATCAGTGGGGGGGGGGGGGATTTTGCTTCCATCAGCCCTGGAGCAATGGGCCAAGGCCACTGACCTTCTATCCCCTTCACAGCTGGCAGGACAACCACCAACGAAGAGCTCGAAGACATGCTGGAGAGCGGCAAACTGGCTATTTTCACTGATGATGTAAGTGTCAGGACTGGGATGTCACCCGAAACAGGGCTACCCGTGTTCCAGACTTGGATTGGAGACCAAGTCAGTAGCCCAGTGCAGCACTAGCGGGTGCTCCCCCCCCCCCCCAGGCAGTCAATGCTGAACCCAGTGCCCCAGCGCTGTGTTTTGGGGGCGCTGTGCCACTGGGGACAGTTGCATTTCAGCACAGGGCGAGCAATCCCCATGTAGCCTATCAGTGTGCGCTGTTACCCTGCTGCCCCACCCCAGAGGTGGCTGCATTTCAGCAATGGGTGAGCACTAGAAGGCCCTGGGGGATGGTGGGACGCTCGTTTCTATAATCCAGACTCCCTTCTGCTTCCACAGATCAAAATGGACTCACAGATGACGAAACAGGCTCTGAATGAGATCGAGACCCGACACAATGAGATCATCAAACTGGAAACCAGTATCCGCGAGCTGCATGACATGTTTGTGGACATGGCTATGTTGGTGGAGAGCCAGGTTAGAACCTGCCGTGTTCTGGGTCTAGAGTGGGCTTCAGCCTAGAATCCGCAGCCTTCTCGATGGTGGGGCCCAGGAGCTGTGGTTAAGAACCTGCAGAGTTCTCGACCTTGGAGCCCAGGAACTATTTTCGACAGCCTACAGCCTTCTGCATCGTAGAAGCTATGCACTGTGATCTAGAACCCCAAGAGTTCTAGATTGTGGAACCCATAAACGATGGTCTAGAATAGTGGTTCCCAACTTTTTCTCTGCTGTGGCACAACTTGAGCTCCAGGGGCTCTTCTCCTCCCCTCCCCCCAGCTGGCATCTGTAGGAGGGAAGGGGAGGGGCAGAGGAGCCAACCCGTTGCTCACACAGGAGGGAAGAGGGGAAGAGAGGGATATTGAGCTCTGATTGGTTGCTCCACCCCTGGAGGAGGCAGGTCAGTGAGGCAGATGACCAGTCAGAAGGCAGCTTTCCCCCCTTTGTAGTTTTTCAGAAAATTCCTTGGCACCCCTGTTCAGGCCTGACAGCACACCATAGGGAAAACACTGGTCTAGAACCTGCAGGCCCTGGGGGATGGTGGCATGCTCGTTTCTATAATCCAGACTCCCTCTGCAGGGAGACTGCAGGGTTCTGAACCTTTGGCCCATATTATCCACAGCCTTCTGCATCATAAAACCATATACTGTAGGCTAGAACCTACGGAGTTCTAGATTGTGGAACCCATGAGCTGTGGTCTACAACATACAGGGTTCTAGACCTTGGGACCCATGAGCTATTGTCTAAAGTCAGGGTCCTAGAACCCATGTACTCTAGAACCTGAAGAGTTCTGGATTGTGGAACCCATTAGCTGTGTTCCAGGGTTCTGAACCTTGGGGCCCATAAACTATTATCCACAGTCTTCTGCATCTTAGAACCCATGCGTTTTTCCTAGATCCAAGAGAGTTCTGGATCAATGAACCCATGTGAGATGGTCTGGAATGTATAGGGTTCTATACTGTGGAACCCAGGAGATTATTACCTCAAGAGCATTCTGCATCTTAGCACTCAAGAACCTGCTGCTATCTGGACCATGGAACCCAGAAATAAATCTCCAACCAGCAGAATTCTAGATCATGGAGCCCATGAGCTATGCTCTAGAATGTACAGGGTTCTGTACCTTGAACCCATGAGATTATTGTCCAGTCGACATCTGCATCCCAACAGCCTTCTGCACCTAAATGCAACAGTCTGTGTTCTGAATTATGGAATCCATGCATTATGGACCGTTCTGGCATGATAAATCCGAGAATGAACTATTATCTAGAATCCACAGACTTCTGCACCTTAGAACTTAGATGTTGCACTAGAAAACCCAGAAAGTTCTATATCATGGAACCCATGAAACATAGCCCATAATTTACAGGGGACTGTAACCTAGAACCCCTGAGATTATTACCTCAACCTGACAGCTTCATGAATCTAAGCCTCCATGATCCAGAACCTGCAATGGCAGTCTAGAACTGATAACGTTCTGGATTTCAGAGCCCATGGTTGGCTTCAGCATTTCAGGATTAGCCAAGTTCTCAGTCCTTTGAGCCACTAAAACCTCAGAGGTCTTTTGCATTACAGAACAGTGAGAGTTCTGGATCGTGAAAGACATGAGCAATGGTCGAGAACATAATGCATTCTGGAACGCAGGACACTTGACAGCCAGATGGGTTCCCCAGTCTAGAACCCAGAGAGATCTGGATGGTGATGCTTCTGAAGATACTTACAGCTGCATGTGTTCTGCCATCTAGAACCCATAGCATTCCAACACTCTGGGGCCAGGAAAAGTGCTAGAGAGAGTCTCCAGATGGTGGATGCGCTATCTTACACCCTACCGTAAGGTGACGGTCCACTCTAGAACTCTTCTAGAACATCAGTGGATCGAGGGTGCACGTTCTTGGTTCCAGAATGTACAGCGTTACAAGTTCTGAAACAGACTCACCAATCTTTCAAAGGTTCTGGCACCCGGGAAGCACTAAATGGGGCTGCTTTGTAGAGTCCAGCAGGGGCTGCAAAGGTGTCCCATGGTGTGCGTTTTTAAGCTCACAACAAGATTTCCAATTCAGCCGTTGGCTTCTCTCCAAAGGGCTGCCAGCCAAGGCCCCATTGTGATGTTGTGACGGGGAACTCTTCTCCCACGAGAATCTGGACTGAGGCTCATGAAACTCATTGCACACAAGACTCAGAAAAGCTTTCAGATAAAATTCACTGCTGACTTACAGCACCTTCCTAGAGGGGAAAGGCCCAGTGTCCCATTCCCTGCCCCCTTGAGCAAGCCAATCCCATTTTGGAGCCAATGCCCACTGCAGGGCAAAGAGGCCGGGTCCCATTTCCTGAGATGGCCAGTCTTTCTGTGCTGGTTTACCCCTCACCTGGGCTCTCTGTTTCAGGGGGAGATGATTGACCGCATTGAATATAACGTGGAGCACTCTGTTGACTACGTGGAAAGAGCTGTGTCCGACACCAAGAAAGCTGTAAAATACCAGAGCAAGGCTCGGAGGGTGAGTGCGGGGATGGGGCTGGGGGGGGGTGGACCCAACCTGCTCTGCAATGAACCCCCTTCAGCTGGGGAGAGAGGCTGAGACCCCACAGAAACCCATACACATATCTTGTCCGTCACCACCCAAGGCAGGTCATCCCCGAGAGCCTCCTCCCACAGCAGAGAGGGAGACGCCCCACCGGAGCCCCTCTAGTCAGTCTCCTCCCTTCTCCTGTCTCCCTCTCTCCATCACTCCATCCCCAAGACCTCTCCACACCACACACTTTGTTAATTTTGTGTTTGGCAGTCTCTGTCTATCCACTCCCTTCTGTCTTGGCCCCCACTTCCCCCGGCTGTCGAAACACTGCTATCCCATCCCTGGCCTCCCCCACACCCACAGCTCTGCCGGTGCCCCTCACTCCTGACCCACAGCCCTCTCCTGTCCCAGCCCCTTGGCAGGGCAATGAGGGATCTCTGTCAGACTGCCACCTGGCAATGTGAATAAACAGATGTGATGAGTCCAAGAGCGGGAGAGGAATGACGCTCCGGGTGAACATGAGGGTCAGGGACACCCTTTGTTTCCATCAGGAGATGGAGAGATCTAAGGAACTGAGGACCCCTGGGTTCTAGTCCTGGTTCTAAGAGGGGAGTGGAGTCTAACAGGATGGAGCCAGGGGAAATAGGAGCCCAGACTCCTGGGTTCTGTTCCTTATTCTATAGATGGATGGTGATTTAATAGATCACCTTTTTGTGCAATGGAAATAAATAAGAACAGCTGGTGTCACTCGGCCCTCGCTCCATTGGGTTCAATGGGGCCAGATCCCCAGCTGGGGTCACTCGGCCGTCGCTCCATTGGGGTCAACGGGGCCAGATCCCCAGCTGGGGTCACTCGGCCGTCGCTCCATTGGGGTCAACGGGGCCAGATCCCCAGCTGGTGGGAATCCATGTAGCTCCTGTGATTTCCGCCAGCTGAAGATTTCACTCACCTGCTCGTTGTCTTGCTGATGCCCAGTCCAGCCATGAAAGTATTAAAATAGCCATTAACATCTCTCCTTCCTTCTCTCTCTCTCTCGCTCGCTTCCTGGATCCCTGGGGTAATGTAGAAGAAAATTATGATTATAATTTGTTGCGTGGTCCTTGGTGTAGTTCTTGCTTCCTCAATTGGGGGGACTCTGGGGTTGTAAATTAAAGCAAAAAAATATATAATAATAATAATAATAATATAATAATAATTTAAAGAAAAATTGTACATGCAATGGATATAACAGCACATGTTCCAGCTACCTATACATACATTCCTTGGGGGTCAGCAAATCTAAGTTTCTTGTTCTCTGCCATCTTTCCATCCATCTCTCCATCCCCCAGAGGCCTGGGTTCTCCCCAGATCTTCTGACATCCTTGACCACTGGTAGGAGGGCGTCGATTTGTCTCATAACCAGCCTTTGGGTTCACAGTGACCCAAAGCTCCGGTTCCTCTTCACATCAGGGCTTAGCCTGGAGGGACGGTGTGGTGATCTGTCCTTTGTTAACGCTATCTTGTTTTGGGTTCTGCTGGGGATGGTGTGGCCAATAGTAGAGGGGAAAAATACCAGTAAAATACATGGGAAACTAGCATAACAGGATATTATACTGTCAATACTAGACTGTTAAGGAATGCCAGAGTGGTTACCAATCAGTTGTTATGAAAAAAAATACCAGTTTATTCTAGGAAATACGACAGTACCTGACTCTTACACTGTCAATATTAGCCCACTGAGGAAAAGAGGGGTCGTTACCCATCAGTCATTTGGAAAAAATACCAGAGAATTATATGAAACATTAGAGCAGCAAACTATTACAATATCAGTACTAAAATATTAAGGAATATCAGAATGATTACCAGTCAGTCACTGGCTGGGGTGGGGGGGGATGGGGATGACAGACTGTTACATAAAATACTAGAGTAACAGGAAACAGTGTTCATACTAGAGCATTGAGGAATTCAAGAGCATCCAGTTATACCTGAGGATGAATGAAGCACGATCCCAAAATACTAATAGTAACATACTAGTCCTGCATTAACATATTAACATATAGAGGAATGCTACAGCAGACTCCAATGCTACAGTATCAATGCTACGGTATCAAAACCGCTAGAGTACAAATACTGTCATTCCAAAGAATACTGTCATACCTCAGAATACTTCAATATAGATTCATAGATATCCAGGTCAGAAGGGACCACTACGATCACCCAGTCCGACCCCCCTGCACAACGCAGGCCACAGAACCTCACCCACCACTCCTACAAAAAAAACCCTCAGATATCAGTGTTACTGCAGCCAGGTGTATGAGAGCAGTGTTGCTAAAGTGCCCAAGAACCCAAACTGCTTCTACTGCAGTACCCAGGAATAGTGGAGTATTTATGCTACGCGAGCAAGAATGCAGTAGTCATGAAGACTGGAGTAGCAATACAACAGTATGTAAGAGTGTTCAAACTGTCCAGATGAGGTCATCCCTCATCAGAAGATATGAGAATACTACAAAATACTCCAGTTTCTAAAGATACTCCAGTATGCTTGACTTGGGGAAGCACATGGCTATTCCAGCTCACGCCTATTTCCAATTACACATGCCAGGAATGGTTGCCACTATGTCAGGTGTTATTGAAAAAGAAATGAGCATTACTACAGAAATGCTACAAAATCAAATAATACTCCAGTATTCTAGATGGGGAGATCCTAACGTTCAGCCCCTCCTTTGCATGAGAGCAGCTGTGAACAAAAAATATTATTAAGTTATTAATGATCAGGAAATGTATTACACTATGCCAGAGTAACAATCCTGGGCCATTGTAAAATATACTAGAATAATGTACCCTGACAAGGCAAATGACACAGTACTTGAAGGTAATAACAGTAATACATGATCGCAAATACAACAGCCTTAGGAAGGATATTACTGTGGTGTCCTCGTGCAATGTTGGCTCCTACAACCTAAGCCCTCACAAAATACTGGAGTATAAGTACCAAACACTACACCCTTATAAAACACTAGAATAATATTCTAAAGTAATAACAGGTCCCAAATACTAAACTCTTGTAAAATACTAGAGTAATAATGGCACCCCAAAATGCTAACGCCATATAAGATACTAGAAAAATAAGGGCTCCCAAATACTACAACCTTATTATAATTCTGCAGCACTATAGAGTAATAATGGCTACCCAAATATTACACTCTTATAATACATTCAGGTAATATATAAATACTGGACATACAGGTTTCTGGGGAGGAAAATCCCACCATATTTTAGACTAATAGTGGTGCCCAAATACTACACCTTTATAAAATTGCTTGGATACTATACGTAATGACTGGTAATTATTAGTAATAAATGCTAAATTGTATGTCTATGGAAAAATATCACGGTATTCTAGAGTAATGGGCTACACATTTATTTAAAAATACCAGAGTTATATAGAGTAATATGGAATATGTAACATTATGCCTAAGAAAAGAAAAAAGACAGTATTCTGGAGTGAGAGTAAGTGGCCAAGTAAATACGTCCTTGAGAAATATATTAAAGGAATATGGAGTAAAAATGGATATCCAAATAGCATCTCTTTGAGAAAAATACTACGGTAGTCTTCAGTAACAATGGCTTGCCAAGATTTACACCACTGTAAACATCTCAAATATTATACCCTCATTTTAAAAGAATCATAGAATAGGGCAATGGGGGTCCGGGCCCTGTGGGGGACCATGAGCAGGTTTCAGGGGGGCCGCCAAGCAGACTTGCTGGGGCCCAGGGCAGAAAGCCAAATTCCCACTGCATGGGGCTGAAGCAGAAGCCTGAGCAACTTAGCTTCAGAGTGCCCCCTGTGGCATGGGGCCCTGGGCAACTGCCCTGCTTGCTACCCCCTAATGCCGGTCCTGGCTTTTATATGCAGAAAACCAGTTATTGTGGAACAGGTGAGACATGGAGTTTTTATAGCATGTTTGTGGGGCCTCAGAAAGAAAAAGGTTGACAACCCCTGGAATAGAATATAGTAACAATGAAACCCAAATACTACATTCATATAAAAATATTGCACCAGGGTATATTAGTAATAGCTCTGCGGGTAATACAATTATAGTACAGAATAATAAGGGCTGTTCAAATATGCCCCTGAAACAATATTGCAGAAACCTAAAGTAATATTGGATAGCCAAGCAATACAGAGCTAAAAAATACTACAGTATTCCAGAGTAATGGTAGCTCTCCTAATACAACATTCTTATAAAAATGCTAAATCGCTATAAATTAATAATGGATGCCTAACTACTTTACCTTTCTATGTTATATTCGGAAAAATTACTACAGTATACTACGGTAATACCGACCCTCCAAATATTACACCCTTATAAAAGATACTGCGGTACTCTAGAATGTTACTGTTTTCCAAAGAATGCTCCCTTAAGGAAAATACCGAGGCAATATAGAGTCACAGTGAATGCTGAAATATTGTTTCTCTGGAGAAAATAATACAATATTATAAAGCAATCATGGCTCCCCAAATACTATACCTTTTATAAAAATGCTAGAGTAATAAGAGATGTCCAAATACTGCACAGTTCTAGAAATGTAAAACTAATCTCGAGTAATGCTGGCTATATTTGATTGCTGCAGTAATCTAAAGCAATACTGGTCCCCAAATACTATAGCTCTGCAAAATACTGTGGTAGTCTTGAGTAATAATGATTATCCAAATATGGCACTCTTATAAAGACCCTGGAGTATATAGTGTAATAGTGGCACTTAAATATAGCCTTGTAAAAAGTACGATAGTAATCTAGAGTAATAATGGTTCTCAAACGCACTCTTGTAAGAATACTAGAGTAATTTTGAGTCATAATGGCTCCCTGAAAAAAACACTTATAAAAATATTTCAATGATATAAAGTACTCATGACTCCAAAACACACTTTTGTAAGAATACTAGAATAATCTAGAGTAACCATGGCTTGCAAATACAGTTTGGAAACAATTCTCACTCTAGATTATGGGAGCATTTGTGTACACTAAACTTCTATAAATAGTGATCTAATTAACAGTGGCTCCTGAATACACTTCTAGACTAATTTAGAGTAATAATATCTTCCAAACACACTTTGGAAACAAATATTACTCTAGATTATTCTTGTTTTCTTTACAAAAATACTTCTCTAAGAATAGTAACCGAGAACAATAATGGCTCCCAAATACATGTTTATAATAATACTATAGTAAGTTAAAGTAATAGTGTCTCCCTATCAGACCCTCAGAAAATCATGGAGTAATGTGGAGTAATAACCGGTCCCAAATACACCCTTGTAAAATACTAAAGAAATTGGAGTATTTATGGCTCCCAAGTATGCCATGATAAAAATACTGGAATAATAATGTATCTCCAACGGCTAGTCCTCCCAAATTACACTGCAGCATTCTGGAGTAATAGCCCCAAACGCTGCCATGTCACTATGGTATTGGAGCTCATTACTCTAGTACAGTGGAGTATTCCTACAAGTATCTGGGGCAATTATTCTGGGATGCTGTAAGGAGAGTGGGTTTTTTTGTGGTGGGTAAGGTTATCCCAGAGCAATATCAGCCACACCTGGGTATTAACAGTCTTCAAGGCACCCTACGGCGGAACTGTCTTGTGGCCAAATGCCACTGAGAGCTTTGGCCTCAGGAGGGAATAGGCATAGAGGAAGGGACTAGATTGCTACAAACCACGTGGTGGGACTGTGGCTGGTCCCTCATCCCAGATGGAGGGGTGATCACCCGTCAGGCTATGAGGAGACACCCCATCAGGACCCATCTAGCCCGCACCCAACTGGGGCACAATCATCCCTGACCATCTGCTGCCCCGGAATCCTGCTTTCCAATGTCCCAGCAATGGGGCGACATAATTCTGTCCCTGTACCTCGTCCTTACCCACAAGGTCGTCTTCCTGACTACTGTGTCACACTGTTGCATTTTATAACATACGTGGGTGCACGCACACACACACACACACACACACATATATAGTGTGTGTGTGTGTATTTCTATTTCCATACATATGTGTGTGTATTCACACACATGCTATACACAACACATTTCTGCATGCTGCATATTGTATACATTAACGTACGTGTATCTACCTATATGTATATGCGTAGGTGTGTATTTACTTATTTGTGATTTTGTGTGTGTGTGTGTGTATCTGTGATTGTGTGTGTATGTGTGCATGTGTGTATGTATATTTGTGATTGTGTGTGTGTGTGTGTATACACTTATACATTATATATATATATATATGTATATATATATATATATATATATATGTATATATAATTCTAGTTATGCTATATAAAACTATACCCTGTGACTAGGTAGATAGATTGAGATACACACGGTGTATACTACATATCTGTGTTTGAGTCTCCAGCTCAGTGGCTATAGTCACAGCGGTCGGTGCAGCTGTAGCTAAATGCTGGTCACGGAGAGTCAATCTGCTGTATTTGAGGTGGGTCCCACCGGCCCGCTCTCTGACTGGGAGTGGGGGCATCCTGTCTAGACCAGGGAGAAGAGTGAGGAACATTGTTGTGTGCAGAGCAGACATAAACACACCAAATATACTAATCAAGCAGGGTGGGCCCGGAATGGGGCCAGGTCCCAGCTGGTGTCATTCAGCTTTGCTTCACTGAAGGCAAAGAAGGTGGTACTTTTATACCAGCTGGGGATCTGGCCCAGTGGGTGTGAGAATATATTGGAGGCAATGTGTATGTATATGTACCGGGATAGGTAGGTAGATAGATAGATATGCATATGTGTATATTTGTATCTTAAATATCCTACAGATGTGTGTGTATATATATATATATATGTGTGTGTGTGTATATAAACAAATATTAAATATACTATAGATGTCTGTATATGTGTATGTATTAGATATATTATAGATGTGTGTATATAAACACGAATATTAAATATGGTATATTGAATTAAACCTCTATAATATATTTAATATTTCTAGTGTGTGTGTGTGTGTGTGTATATAAAGATACACACATATACAGCATATTTACTGCTTATGCATGTATGAGTATAGATAGACAGACACATCTATAGTATATTTCCTATATATCTGTATGCCTGAGTCAATATATTTATATTTAAGATAAATACACACATCTATTGGGTATTTAATATTTATGTGTATATTCATATATATAAAGATACATAAAGACACATCTACGGCATATTTATTATGTGTGTGTGGATAGTATATTTCTTATGTATCTGTATGAGTGCAGATATATTTCTATATAAATATAAGTACACATATATAATACATGTACAATATGTATATTTACCATACATATATCTATATCGCATATATATATAATATATATCTCATATATAGATATATATACATAGATATATGTGTAAATATTTAGATTTATATACACACACACATACATATGTATAGGAAATATACCATACGCGTCTATATCTATCTTTATATAAAAATATATGCATAATATCTTTACTATGTGTATAATATTTATATATATATGTTGTATATAAATAAATACACACATACATATATAGTACATTTACTATAGATGTTTATCTACCTTTATATATGCACACACACACATATATAAATATATAAAATATCCTCTGTGTGTATCTTTATGTATAAGTATATAGCTACATTCCCATATACATAGTAGCTATACTATATATGTGTGTAACTATGGATACACACATATATCACAAATATACTATATACCTATGTATTCATACACACACAGTGTGTCAAAATATACTAGACACACACACACACGCGTACACACACACACTCACATACAGAGCCAGAATCCCAGCTGGTACAAACGATGATAGTTCCATGGATTTAGCACCACTAACCATTTCTATCAGCTGCGGCTTGGCCCCAGGATCTAGCCGTTATATGTAGTATGTGATCTGTGTGTGCGCTCACAATCCCTGTACCCACCTACACAATCTCCATTCCTCCGTGTCTGCATTCCCAGCCCACCTTCCAGAAAAAAAAAAAAAAAGGAACAAACCAAACTTAGATTTTTTGATCTTTTTTAAACAAAACACAAAAGCGAACAAAAAAAAAAAAGCCGCTAAAAAAAGACTAAAAAAACAAAACAAATGCGGGAGAAAAATTCCTACCGAGTTGTCGATGTCCCTCGACTTCCCTTTTTTGGGTATTGAGCTGTGTATTGTTTCAATGTGGGCTGTTTTCCTGTAATCTGTGGTGTGTTTGCTAAGAAACAAACAAACAAATAACATCTTCATTTTTTCTTACCTTCCTCCCTTTCCTGTTTCCACTTCCGTTCTCTTCCTCTGGCCCTCTTCGGTCTGTGTGGCAGTAAAACATTTTTAAAAAGACAAATGAACTGGAAAAAAAAACAAAAAACACTCACATTTTCCCCCCTTTTGCTGCTTGGAAACATGTAAAAGAACAGCCAAAATAAATTAGTTTTCCAATCACCGCATGATCTGGGATCCTGTCTGGATTTATCGCTCCTCTATTTCCCCCACCCCCCCACCCCCATTATTTGCTCCGCTTTGGATCGAGAGAGTTTTCCCCTCCCTCTCACTGAACCTGAGAGGAACCAATGTTTTGTTCCAGATGGGAGCTGTGAGATGGTTTTGGCCAGATAAATAGCAACACATCACACGCCTACACACGCACAAAGTGAACTGAGGAGGTACAATAGTGAGTGGTGATGCAAATGCACCCGCCCACCCACAGAGTGAACCGATTCGGGGGGGGGGGCGTGCAAAACACAAGTGCATTCTCGCACACACAAGGCCTGATTTCCTCCAGCAGGAGGCAGCATTTCACACATACACACAGAGACACATAGACCCACCCCTTCATGGCCAGTTTGATGCAAACCCCAACAAATAAAATCACCTCCCACGGCTGAGAAGGTGGGGAGCTGCTACCATTCCTCATAGACAGGGTATCTCCGGGGCAGATATAATTCCACCTACTGAGTGAAGAACATATCACCCCTCTTCTCTACCCCCCAGCTCAGGCAGGCACCCTGGGAGCGCCCCAAAAACTAGCATCCTTCCCTCTGAGGGTGCAGGGTGGAGGATTCCACTCCACAAAGCCCCATAACCTTCCCCCGTAGGTCAGGTTTTCCAAACCTTTTCTCGTTTTTGTTGCTCTCCTCTGGACTCTCTGCAATTTGTCCACGTCTGGCCTAAAGTCACAGGACTCCAGCTGAGGCCTGAGCAGAGCGGGACAATCACCGTCCGTGTCTTACCTACGACACGCCAGTTCATACACCCCAGAATGACATTCGTCATTAGCCTTTTTTCAGAACTACATCACATGGCTGATTCAGCTCCAATTTGTGACCCACTGTCACCCCCAGAGCCCTGCCAGCCATCTGACCCCCTACCCACTTAGTCCCCATTTGGTAGCTGTGCGTTCAATTTTTTCCTTCCTAAGTGAAGTATGTTGAACGTGTCTGTATTGAACATCCTGGTGTTGGCTTCAGACCAATTCTCCAACCCGTCAAGGGCGTTTTGAGTTCGAATCCTCTCCTCCAAAGGGCTTGCCACCCCGCCCAGCTCGGGTCATCTGCAATTTGAATAGCGCACTCTCCTCTCCATTAGCCAAGTCATTCGTGAAAATGTCAGATGGGCTAATACCGGACCCAGGACTGACCCCTGCAGGAGACGCCCGCCTGACCCTGTCACCTCATCCGTGTGAGGCACGCCCATGAACGCCACCAGATCAATGTGCGGCCCTGGATTTAACAAAGCAGCCAGCGCAGGGTGACTGTGGTGGCCCTGTTAGGCCCTGATCATCAACGCAATGTAGGCTCCTAACTTCCTTGAAGTCCGTGGAAATGAGCTGAATGAAATACAGTCGAGGATCCGGATTTTATAAACGCACAACAGGCTTTGCTTTTGTGCCTGCAGGTGCCGATTCAGCCAAGCAGCTGGTCAGAGCACGAACGGGATGGATTTGCTGGCATCGCCTCTCCGGTCCTATGCGCCCAAATCCATCCCTGCTCACTGCGGCACGTAAACCTGCCTTTGAGATGCCGATCTGCCGACAAGTGGGAAGAGTCGATGGGCTTTTGAGTGTCTTGTCCGATCCCTGCCCGGAGCCTAAAACCCTGTGGCTAGCTCACGTGTCTTCCAGCAAGGCGGCCAATCGAGAGCTGATGTTTCGGGCCAATCCACCGCTTCCTTTCAGAGCGTCTCTGCCTTTGGATCAGACTCAATGTGCCCTTGGCTGCTTCGTGGAAATCTGGGCCGCCCGTCGATCCCATCGGGGTTCATGGGACGGCTTGCTTAGGCGAAGGACGTAACAAGAACAATAAGTGGCTTCAGATTTAAGCACGCGCATAAAGTTAAAGGCGTTCACGGCCCCCGTCAGTTTCAGCCGGCGCGTCAGTTTCGGCAGGATCCCAGGCCCCATCCTGTTAACAGGGTCACCTCCCCCCCCCACTCCTCTCCTTCCTTTCCTCTGGGTCTATTTTGCCATTCGTTCCTTCCATCCCTTCTGCTGTGTGTAAATATTAACTGAGGAGCACGACGGGTCATTTCCTTTTGCCTGCTGAGTTGCTTTTTCCCCTCTGAATGCGCTTTTCCCCCCACCCCCAGCCTGGTCGCGGAGCATTCGAGTGTCACTTCTGGGCATTTGCTTCTGAGTTTTTAATCTATTTGTTTTAAGTCTTTCTTTCTTTTCTTTTCTTTTTTTCATTGGAAAGCAAATGAATTGTCCGATTCTTCCGGTTTTCAATGTCTGTCCTAATGTGCATCATTAAAGCCAGCGGCTAATTGCTCAACCTTGTCCCACTCAAGCAGGTGATCTAGTCTGTCCCTTGCATAGCACAAGCCAGAGAATTTCATCTGGCAACCCCTGAACTTCACCCAGTGATTTACATTTGTCTGAAGCACATTGTCTAGAAAGTAAATGATTTAAGACAACCCAGATCTTTTAACTCCAGGCTTTGCTTTGCTAACATAGACTCACCAGCCAGGCTTTTCAGAGAGTTTGATTATGTATATGCAGAATGCAGACATTTCATTTCATTAGACATTAAAGGCCCGAAGAGATCATCCAGTCTGACACAACCCAGAGAATTTTCCCCCACCCCACTCTGCCCATGATTCCTGCATTACCTTGAGTTTGAGCAAGAGGGTAGCCCGTGGAGACACAGCCAATGTCAAGCTACACGGTGCCAAGCTATGGAGAATCTGTTGCATCTTTCATGTTGTTGACGCTGAATCTTGAAAGCCCATGAGATCAGCTTTAAAATATACCAAATGTTAGGTTATCGGCCTTCCATTTTGTTAACACTGCATTTTGGAGCTTTTCTCTACAACCCTATCGACTAAAAACTTGGTTTTTAAAAAACAGTTTGACAGCTGAGATTCCCCCGTCATCACAGGACTCTGGGGCTTTAGAGTGAGTGCCAGCTGTCGAGAGAGTTGCAACGAAAATCTCCAGAGTTGGCCACGCTGCCGTGAAAAAATTTGTCCCTTGTTTCTGGCCTGAATTTGTCTGGTTTCACCTCTCAGCCACTGGGGCTCCTTCTGGAGATAATGCACAATCAAATCTAGCACAATTTGTGGCTTAAAAATATCAAGTTGAACTTCCCTGTCCCCTATAAAAAGATGAAGATTCACCGGCAAGGGTTAGACTTCAGAATTTACCAAATCGGGAGAAGATCACAGCTATCCCTCCTTAAAATTAATGGTCAGATTCATCCCAATACAACTCTTCCACCAGCACAATAGATTAGGATTTAGTCCCATAGGACCAAACAATTTGTCTCAGTAAGAATAAATATTTTGGGGCTAAAATATTGGGGTGAAATTACACTAAAGCGAAAAAATAGTCAGTCTTCATCTCATTCATTGTGCCCATCAGCAAAGTGATCAAAGATTAGAATTTGATAGGAGCACACAGTTTGTCTCAGCAAGCATGAATATTTATCAGGTGAAATCCATGCTCAGAAAAAACCCAGGAAAGAGCCACAAGATATTTTCATCTCCTGCGGAAGGTTTAGGACTTAATCCCTGGCTTGACTGGAATTGTAATATTTTTTCTCTGCAAAACTTTTGTCTCACGGGTTTGAAAAAAGATGCTTGCATGTTTTAATGAAAAAAAAAACCTAAAACATAAAAAAAAGAACAAACCCCCCCCACCACCAAACCTGGTTTGAGATTGTGGCGTGTACCCTTTATTCTTCTGCCTTGCGCTCTGCTCTCCTCTGGAACGAGAGAAAAAAACAAAGCAAAAACAACGAATGAATGAAAAAATTTAAAGTCTGTGTGGGTTCAAAAAAACCAAAAAAAAGGACTCAAAAAGCACCTGTCGTCTGTTGTCTGTTTTCCTTTGGTTCTCATGGTTTCTGGTGGTGCCTTTCGGTTGTGTCAGCTCTCCACAACTTTCTCTCTCGCCCGCTGCGCCTTTCTGTCTGACACACTGCAATCTCTGAGCAATCTCCTTATGGGTGCTCGCCAACTTTCTAGCTGGTGCTCGTCGGTTCTTGGCAACTGTCCGGCTCTCTCCAATTCTCCAGTGCCTCTTCCTGTCCTCAGCTCGCTCCTGTCCCCTCTTCCTCTCCAGCTGTCCCTTCCAGGCCCTCATCCCTGTCTTGGCCCACCCTGTGCCTCCATTCGGGCCGAGCGTGCGGACCCCCCGTCGGCCCGATTTCACGCCTGCCTTGGCCGGGCATCACGAGATGGAATCAGGGCCGGTCTTTCGCCACCGTTCCCTTTATAGGTTTTCATAGAGGTGGGGGTATTGACTGGGGAGGGGGGGGTCACACACAGGACTCATGGGGTGGGGGGGGAGTCAGACCCCCTGATCCCAGCTAAAGCCAAGAAAAGGGTTCTTGAGCTGAAAAGTATTGACAACCCCCCCCCATATAGCAACCATCAACAGTGTAACAAATGGTCCCCCACCCGAAAGAGAAGAGTGAGGGGGGATTTGAGAGCTGCTTTCAACTACCTGAAAGGGGGTTCCCAAGAGGATGGAGCTTGGCTGTTCTCAGTGGTAGCAGATGACAGAACAAGGAGCAATGGTCTCAAGTTGCCGTGGGGGAGGTTTAGGTTGGATATTAGGAAAAAACTTTTTCACTAGCAGGGTGGGGAAGCACTGGAATGGGTTCCCTAGGGAGGTGGTGGAATCTCCTTCCTTAGAAGTTTTTAAGGTCAGGCTTGACAAAGCCCTGGCTGGGATGATTTAGTTGGGGATTCGTCCTGCTTTGAGCAGGGGGTTGGACTAGATGCCCTCCTGAGGTCCCTTCCAACCCTGAGATTCTCTGATTCTCTGATTCTCATCTAGTCCTGTGCGTCTCTGTTTCTGTATGAACAGCTTTCCTCTCTTCAGTTCATCCTTGTTTTTCTCTGAGACTGGACAGGCTTAGTGAGTTAAAATGGGATGGCTGGTGGATCAGGACACCTGGGTATTCCAAGAGGGGAGTGGGGTGGGACAGAGGGGGGCTGGGAGTCCGGACTCCTAGGATCTCTCCCCAGTTCTGGGAGATGTAATACTTTTGAGTGTGTCTGGTGCTTTGAGATCCTCGAATGACAGAGGGGGGCCCCCCTCCATCGATCTATCCCCCTATGTGTGCTGTTGCTTTGCTGTCAGGCATTCACACGCCACCCCCACCCCGGGGGGAGGACCTTCCTTCTGAGCCGCTTGTCTGTCTAGCTAACACCAGGGACCAGGGCAAATCTCTGGGCAGCAGCCACCGCCCCACTCCATCGCGGGCAGGAAAGAGGGCCCCGGGAATAAACAGGGCAGTGGGTCTCAAGGTGGAGATAGCCACAAACACGCAAGGCCCCGATCCCCTCCAGCAGGGGGCGCTCTCTCCCCTGGCTATCAGGCCTGGCCCCAGGCCTTGGGGGCACTGTGCTGCAGGGGGCAGGGCAGGGGGCTCAGCAGGGGGCGCTCTCCCCTGGCCGTCAGGGCTGGTCTCGGGGCTAGGGGGCGCTGTGCCGCAGGGGGCAGGGCAGGGGGCTCAGCGGGGGGCGCTCTCCCCTGGCCGACAGGGCTGGTCTCGGGGCTAGGGGGCGCTGTGCCGCAGGGGGCAGGGCAGGGGGCTCAGCGGGGGGCGCTCTCCCCTGGCCGTCAGGGCTGGTCTCGGGGCTAGGGGGCGCTGTGCCGCAGGGGGCAGGGCAGGGGGCTCAGCGGGGGGCGCTCTCCCCTGGCCGACAGGGCTGGTCTCGGGGCTAGGGGGCGCTGTGCCGCAGGGGGCAGAGCAGGGGGCTCAGCGGGGGCGCTCTCCCCTGGACGTCAGGGCTGGTCTCGGGGCTAGGGGGCTCTGCGCCGCAGGGGGCAGGGCAGGGGGCTCAGCGGGGGGCGCTCTCCCCTGGCCGACAGGGCTGGTCTCGGGGCTAGGGGGCGCTGTGCCGCAGGGGGCAGGGCAGGGGGCTCAGCGGGGGGCGCTCTCCCCTGGCCGACAGGGCTGGTCTCGGGGCTAGGGGGCTCTGCGCCGGAGGAGGCTTCACAGTTTGCATCCAGCGGATGGACAGGGCCCACACAACTGACACTGTTCGCAACCAAGCAGCCGAGTGGCCTGTCTCTAAGCCGATTGGCGGCTAATCGCACAGGGCTGGGTAAGCCCCGCTCGTTACAGGCCAATCTCGTTAGAACAATCCCCTTGGGGTCAGAGTGACATATGCTGAGCCGGGGAGCACATCTGGCAGGGGCTGCGTTAGCCTGTTTCTGCCTGGGAAATCCTGTTGTCTCCCAGAGCAGCCTGGTCCCCCCCTCCCCGAGCACCCCCCTCCCCGCTCCATGCCACAGCCTGAGCCCCTAACATTCATCCCCGCCTTGCTCCCCTGCCGGCAGCACTTGCCCATTGTGCAGACACAGCTGCCTCTGGGGTGGACTAACCAGAACGGCCCAGACTGCTGGAGAGAGCGCCCCCTACCGATCTCTGCCCGCTCCCTGCAGCACAGCGCCCCCTAGTGCCGCACTGGGGCGTGGGGGCCGGCCCTGGCTGCCTGGGGAGAGCGCCCCCTGCTGATCCCCCGCTCCCTGCAGCACAGCGCCCCCTAGTGCCGCACTGGGGCGTGGGGGCTGGCCCTGGCTGCCTGGGGAGAGCGCCCCCTGCTGATCCCCCGCTCCCTGCAGCACAGCGCCCCCTAGCGCCGCACTGGGGCGTGGGGGCCGGCCCTGGCTGCCCGGGGAGAGCGCCCCCTGCTGATCCCCTGCTCCCTGCAGCACAGCGCCCCCTAGCTCCGCACTGGGGCATCGGGGCCGGCCCTGGCTGCCCGGGGAGAGCGCCCCCTGCTGAGCCCCCGCTCCCTGCAGCACAGCGCCCCCTAGCGCCGCACTGGGGCATCGGGGCCGGCCCTGACTGCCCGGGGAGAGCGCCCCCTGCTGACCCCCCGCTCCCAGCAGCACAGCGCCCCCTAGCGCCGCACTGGGGCATCGGGGCCGGCCCTGGCTGCCCGGGGAGAGCGCCCCCTGCTGATCCCCCGCTCCCAGCAGCACAGCGCCCCCTAGTGCCGCACTGGGGCGTGGGGGCTGGCCCTGGCTGCCCGGGGAGAGCGCCCCCTGCTGATCCCCCGCTCCCAGCAGCACAGCGCCCCCTAGTGCCGCACTGGGGCGTGGGGGCTGGCCCTGGCTGCCCGGGGAGAGCGCCCCCTACCGATCTCTGCCCGCTCCCTGCAGCACAGCGCCCCCTAGTGCCGCACTGGGGCGTCGGGGCCGGCCCTGGCTGCCTGGGGAGAGCGCCCCCTGCTGATCCCCCGCTCCCTGCAGCACAGCGCCCCCTAGTGCCGCACTGGGGCGTGGGGGCTGGCCCTGGCTGCCTGGGGAGAGCGCCCCCTGCTGATCCCCCGCTCCCTGCAGCACAGCGCCCCCTAGCGCCGCACTGGGGCGTGGGGGCCGGCCCTGGCTGCCCGGGGAGAGCGCCCCCTGCTGATCCCCTGCTCCCTGCAGCACAGCGCCCCCTAGCTCCGCACTGGGGCGTCGGGGCCGGCCCTGGCTGCCCGGGGAGAGCGCCCCCTGCTGAGCCCCCGCTCCCTGCAGCACAGCGCCCCCTAGCTCCGCACTGGGGCATCGGGGCCGGCCCTGACTGCCTGGGGAGAGCGCCCCCTGCTGACCCCCCACTCCCAGCAGCACAGCGCCCCCTAGCGCCGCACTGGGGCATCGGGGCCGGCCCTGACTGCCCGGGGAGAGCGCCCCCTGCTGACCCCCCGCTCCCAGCAGCACAGCGCCCCCTAGCGCCGCACTGGGGCATCGGGGCCGGCCCTGGCTGCCCGGGGAGAGCGCCCCCTGCTGATCCCCCGCTCCCTGCAGCACAGCGCCCCCTAGTGCCGCACTGGGGCGTGGGGGCTGGCCCTGGCTGCCCGGGGAGAGCGCCCCCTGCTGATCCCCCGCTCCCAGCAGCACAGCGCCCCCTAGCGCCGCACTGGGGCGTGGGGGCCGGCCCTGGCTGCCCGGGGAGAGCGCCCCCTGCTGAGCCCCGGCCCCGCTCGCTGCAGCACAGCCCAAAGCCCCGGTCTCTACCCCCAAAGCTCTACTGGTGCCCCGACTCGCAGCCCCCTGCTCTCCCGGCCCTGGGCTCCCCCCCATCTCTTCCACAGCTCAGCCCAGCGAGCCCCTCCCAGCCGGGGCAGGAAACGGGGGACCAGCTGTTCCTAGCTCGTGTGTACCCAGCCCAAGCAGCGATGCCCCCCCCCCCCCCACCCTGTCCCTCAGGGGTCAAGTGATGCCGCAATTTCATTCTTCCCTCCATGAGCTAGATCCGCTCGGCCAAAGTGGCCAGCTGCTCCTGTCCGGGCCCACCCCACTGGCTGCAGCGTCCCCCGGAGAGACACAGCTTCGGAGGCTGGGAAGGCCCCCCGCCCACCTCGCCCCTGGCTGAGCATCCGGTCGGTGAGCCGGTTTGCCCAAAGAGAGGTCATCCCCCCCCACCCAATCCACCAGCCCGAAGCAGTGCTCGCCATCCGGCCAGGCCTAACGCGGGCGGGGAATGAACGCACAGCCCGCCCCCCGCAGCCACGGCGTCTGGGCTGCGACTTGCCCGGGGCCATCGTCCCTTGTCAGTGGGGAAACTGAGGCACGAGCACACCCAAGGCCCTTCTGCGCCTAACGCTCTTCAAAGCCAAGGGGCGTTAGACACCTGCCGTAGAGGGTCTAACCCTAAGGGATCCAGGGCATCAACCCCCGGTCTTCGCACCACCCTGCCATCCGTCTCCTCTGCACTGATGGACGCCTGCCCCCCCCACCCCCGAATACAGGATGGAGAAGTGCATCGTGGGAGTTTTCCTCCCCGACCAGCCCTCTACCTCGGTGGACTGGGAGCTCCCACAGCGACCGCGGCACTCACAGGAAACCCTGCTGTGTG